CTCAATTTACTTCAGAAGACTATTGTTGTTGTTGTTGATTTTTAATTCTTTTTTGGACTTCCACTCCCACTACTGGCTGTTAGGAATTGTAGGAGTTGAAGTCCAAAACACAAGGAGGGCCCAAGCTGGTCCATGCCTGTTTTAAAGAATAGCAATGATGTTTAATTCTATTGTAATATTTCATATATTTGTAGATTTAAACTGTATTGAAATGTAAGCTGCTTTGGCTCCTTCCACGCAGCTGTATAAAATCCACACTTATTGGCTTATATGGCAGTGTGGACTCTGATAATGCAGTTCAAAGCAGATATTGTGGATTATCTGCCTTGATATTCTGGGTTATATGGCTGTTTGGAATCATAGAATCAAAGAATCAAAGAGTTGGAAGAGACCTCATAGGCCATCCACTCCAACCCCCTGCCAAGAAGCAGGAATATTGCATTCAAATCACACCTGACAGATGGCCATCCAGCCTCTGTTTAAAAGCTTCCAAAGAAGGAGCCTCCACCACACTCCGGGGCAGAGAGTTCCACTCCTGAACGGCTCTCACAGTCAGAAAGTTCTTCCTCATGTTCAGATGGAATCTCCTCTCTTGTAGTTTGAAGCCATTGTTCTGCATCCTAATCTCCAAGGAAGCAGAAAACAAGCTTGCTCCCTCCTCTCTTTCAGACAGGCCCTATATCCCAGGATCTGATCCTAGGTTTTCTGTTTATCCCAGATTATCTGGCAGTGCAGACTCATATAATCCAGTTTAAAGCAGAAAACCTGGGATCAGATCCTGGGATATAGGGTGTCTAGAAGGGCCCACAGTCTCCTTGTGGAGACAAAAAGTGATGTATAATAATAATAATAATAATAATAATAATAATAATAATAATAATATAAAACATAATAATAAAATTGTAGAACAGAAATTTGTTCCTGGTTTGAAAGTATTATTTTCTGTTTAATTGTGCGGCCCTTACTTTGAAAGTAGTAGTTCTCATCCAGAAACTTTGTGTGGCTGCCACAAACTATCCGCCAAACTCCCATGACAAGAGGTCATGAGAGTTTGGCCAATAGGCTGATCAGTAAACATATTCATGGGTTCCTGCTGTTATAGTAAACCTGTTACCCATGCCACAACATGCTTGAAGTCAAAATTTCATTTATTTGTAATTAGAAATAAATGTTTTACAATATATAAAACAAATTTTTCACAATATTCCTGTGCAAAGTATAGTCTGGCCCTCCAACAGTCTGAGGGACAATGAACTGCCCCCCCCCCCCCCCCGTTCAAAAAGTTTGAAGACCCCTGCTCCAGATATCGATGAACCGCAACTCTAAAACATACCCCACCATTAGCTCTTTCAACTAGGAATACTGGACTTAGTATCCAGCAACATTTGTAACAAAACTTTCCAAACATTTCATGTTGGTGACAAACTTTTTACATATATATCATTTTGCAACACAGTAATTCAGTTTTACTAGCAAACCCTGGGTCCCCGTCACTCCTCAACCCAGGTAATGCAGTCAATACATTATGATATCATGGCATACAGTATGGAAAGCTCATATCATTCTCACCCTTGTCCTCAAAAGTGTTAAGACCATACAGCATAGCTGGATTAGAAGTTCCAGTCACAAATGAAATCTGTGAGTTGCAAAAACATATCTGAAAACTTAGATTGGAGTTCACTTTGTGCATTACATAATGCTAGGAGTCATTCATACTTCTGAATTTTTCTCTCCCTCCCCATGACCTATTATTCAATCTAAGACTGGAAAAGTCAAGAATACAAAGATTAGTCAGGAACAAGAAAACATAATTTACATGAAAACAAATGGAAGTTTTCTCCTACTAACAAATAAGGCCATACAAAGCAATATGATGGCATTCGATATCAGCAAAATGAGTTTTATCCTTATGTGATACTTCACATTTTATAAATTACTTCTCACATTTATATCTAATCCTTCCTTCCTTCAATCCATTCCAGGCAGCATGCCTAGAATTTTCATTTTATCCCTAGTAGTGCAATGCTCAGTAGTAAGTTCTATGCCAGGATAGTGGTAATCTACTGTGAATTTTAGACCAAACATTGAAATGTCCAGGGTGCTGAGCCCTATCTCCAAAATCATTTCAGCACTTTGGATAGCTCCTTTAGCTCTGCAGTGGATCTAAGACAGCTATGTACAGAAAGTAGATTGAGTTCTGCTAAAACATCTCTAGGCTATGTCCAATAAATTGCAACAGCCTACAGTAATAACTAGCAATAAAGTTGCTACGCTGAAAACATATCTGGAATAGAAAACATGCTTAGATTTTTTTTTTAAAAAAAGAACTACTTAAAACCAAGTATTTGAGAATTTAGTGTTGAACAATAAAACAGAAAAATAGTTTTCATTCCCTGAACCTATGTGCTGAACATTGCAGGAACAGTTTCTCTTCCACATGTTTCTGAATCAACCAAAGGAAGAGCAGAATCAGTTTTTAACATGCTATTCATTAACAGTTACATCAAGGACAACAACAAATATTCCTCTCCTAAATTTAAATTAGGCTGCCAAAAAACAGAAGTATAGGTTAGAAAAACAGGAAGGGATTCTTGTGTAAGATTAACATAAACCCAGTCAATAAAAAAAAAATCCCAGACCGAACTTCTTGGAAGCAGCCTGGTTTCCCTTCTAAGTATATTTGCACCTTCCTGTGTCATAATGTTTACCTACATCCAATTATGAGAATTAGGCTTTCTGTCCCCAGCCTGACATCTAGCCATCCCTAACTCAGAGAGTATAAGTACATAACTGTAAGCAATCACTGAGAAGTGTGTGAATGTGTAAAATAAATAAATGCTGGTGCGTAGACCCAAAAGTAAGCCATCTTTTAACAAGACAAGTTCATACCACATGAACTCCTGAAAATAGCCTTTTTAAAACACTAGCAAGCAACAAGATGCCAAGGTTAAATGCTACTGATATAAAAAGGTCAGTAGAAGAGATACAAAGCCCAGTTGGTTGCGTCTCCATGACTGATTGGTTACGTTTGACAGCTCTTGATATTGTTAGACACAGCTGAGTGTGAAATCTTACATCAGGTATCCTGACTTTTTGGTACAGCTTTGTTTAATCTGCTAAAGCAAAGGCATCTCTGGGATCCAGATCGTGCTGTGATGAAAAAGAACACCTTAAAAGAAAGGAGCTGGGAATTCAACAATGACTAATAGAACAGACAACACTTTTCGTACTTAAAATCTATATACAAGAATCTGTACTAAACTTAACAGAAACAGATAATGTTGTTTCCTTGCATTTTTTGTGTTCTTTAAGAAATCTACATAGCCAGTTTTAACAAGCAACAGTTGCTTTTTTTTTTAAGAGAGAGATTATGGAAATGAAAAAGGAAACAACTAAACAATCACAAAGTGAAATTATTTTCTTAATGAAGCCAAAGAGCAGTGATACAAAATATAATTCTAACTACTGTTACTATGGCCCCTTCCAGGCAGGCCCTTTATCCCAGGATCTGATACCAGGTTTTCTGTTTATCCCAGATGATCTGGCAGTGTGGACTCACATGATCCAGTTTAAAGCAGAGAACCCTATGATCTGTCCACAACTGAAACTATTAATCATTACAGAACCTGAGCAAAAATGAATGATTTGACAAATCTAAATTATGCTATTTCAATTCCAGACAGGCACAATCATCACTGATTATTAACAAGTTAAATGTTGTCAGATATTTTAATCATCTCATTCCTCATCTCATCTGTTAAATATATGGCCTGGATATTTCTGAAGAATAATAATAGCCTAATATGCCTTAGCAAAGGTTTTTTGAATCACTTTTCAGGAACTTTGATAATGCCATAATACTGTGCCCTCAAATATGGCAAAATTCACTCAAGTTGGTCTACAATTCCTATCTTCCCCAATCAGCATGGCCTATTCAGAATGAATGATGGACATTTTAGTCTATGCAACAATATCTACAACAAGATATTCTATCTGATCTTATGTATATTTATTTGGAAGAAATACATACTTTAGCAGTGCTTACTCCCAGGTAACAATGGAAGTAAGCACAGGGCTGTATATGCTCTTGAAGGTCTTCTTCAGAGGCTGTGTGAAATACATGACCAGAAATGTTTGGAGTTAAAATCTCACACCATGTACTAAACAAAATGGTATGAATTATTCCAGTAAATGGTCTGAGAATTTCAGCTCCAGAAATTGCTGAAGTTATTTGGGTCCCATGTGAGTGAAAAGCTACTTACGTATAAATAAAATAAAATTTAAAAAGTCCCTGAAGGCCTTTGAGAGCATATATAGACTGAAAGATGTTGGACTTTTTATTAGTAAACCATTCATCCATTCAGCACCTTGAGACATGTCTTCTGTTTTCAGCTAGTTCCAGTAGAAGCATATAAACTATTAGTAAATGAAAATCCAACCATATGTAAATCATATTAATTAAATTGATTTACTCTAGTTGAACTAGCAGTTGGATTTAGGCCCTTGAATTTTTATTTTTCAAAAAATGAGATGTTTGTAGCTATAGCCCATTTTCAAAACTCATCTTCTCAGAACATGGTGGCAAAGGCTAGTGCCCAAGTTGTGAAAAACCACAGGAATTATTTCAAAATGTTTGGTGTCATATCATAGTTGTTTTGTGAGAAACATGGAAATATGGAAAGCCATTTTACTTCCCAAAAGAATCATGCTTTTTCTGTTATTAAAAAATGTCATTTTCCAATTCCTCATTACATTGACAGACAATGGTACCAGTACATCTTGATCAAACACTGAAGTAACTCCAAGCGGCAATGAGAATGTATTCAACTGCCCACAACTAGTAACATTTTTCTTATTGGCACTGGATGTATTTGCTTACTAGGGATTCCTGAGTGAGATCTCACTTTGATGTTCAGAAAAGGATGAGGCATCCCAAAGAAGAGTGATATGTGCCCCCCACTCTCATGTACATAATTTAGTTGTAAAAAGCAAGTACTCACTGATCTGATTTGTAGATGAGCTATAGAAGGCATTGACTGTAGTTGGACTAGTAAACCACCTGTTGAAACAGAACAAATTGGCTTATATAAGTTTATTAATCAATAGTAAACACATCAAAAGAAGAAATGTTAGACCACCAGCAATGAAAGGTGTACAGAAGAAAGTAGGAATTTCTCCTATTGCATTTCCTATTAAAGATAGGGAAAGGTAAAGGTTTTCCCCTGACATTAAGTCCAGTCGTGTCTGACTCTGGAGGTTGGTGCTCATCTCCATTTCTAAGCCGAAGAGCCAGCATTGTCCATAGACACCTCCAAGGCCTTGTGGCCAGCATGACTTCATGGAGCACTGTTCAAGGTACAATTCCAAAATAATCTTGGAAAGATCTTTGAAATAAATGTATATTAAAGCCATCCATATTAATTACATGATCATATTTTGACTGAGTGATTTAAAACAACAACAACAACAACAACAACAATTTTATTGTCCACCTCTCCTTGCAGCATCAATGAGCTCAGTTAGTTTGGTTCCAGCCAACACCAAACTCGAGGCTATGTTTTGGCTTCATTACGAATTTCTTAACACAATAGTTGCAGTGAAGACTTTGAGACATGGTCAGTGTAAAGATCCCTTACCTTACCAGCCTGGGTGGCAGGGCCTAGGAGAGACAGGCCAGTTAGTTGCAGCTT